TAATTCAGGATCAGCCACATGCTCAGCCATGAAGCAAGTAACAACACATTCTTTTTCTTTTCTTTTTTTTTTTTTTTTTGAGACAAAGTCTCACTCTGTTGTTGCCGAGGCTGGAGTGCAGTGGCGCAATCTCGGCTCACTGCAACCTGTGCCTCCCAGGTTCAAATGATTCTCCTGCCTCAACCTCCTGAGTAGCTGGGATTACAGATGCGCGCCACCACGCCTGGCTAATTTTTGTATTTTTAGTAGAGACGGGATTTCACCATGTTGGTCAGACTGGTCTCGAACTCCTGACTTTGTTATCCACCCACCTTGGTCTACCAAAGTGCTGGGATTACAGGCATGAGTCACTGTGCCCAGCCATCAATACATTTTAAACAAACTGAAACAACACCAATGGTACTTTTTGACCACAGGGAATAAAAATATAAATAAATACCAGGAAGATCTCCCAAAACCACACAATTAAATGGAAAAGAAAAAATTTTCACATGAATGACTTTTGGGTAAATGACAACATTAAGGTATAAATAGAAATGAATCTTAGAAATGAAATCAGGCAAATGTACCAAAATCTCTGGAATACAGCAAAAGCAGTGTTAAGAGGAAGCTATAGAGCTCTAAATGCCTACCTCAAAAAGTGAGAAAGATCTTGAATGAATACCTAACATCACGTCTAGAGAAAAGAAAAGAAAAAACAAATCCCGAAGCTAGCAAAAGTAAATAAATAACTAAAATCAGAGCAGAACTAAACAAATTTAAGACCCAAAAATCTACACAAAGAATCCACAAAACCAAAAGTTACTTTTTTGAAATAATAAAATGATTGATAGACAGCTATCTAGAGTCACAGAAAAAAGATCTCAATAAGCATAATCAACAATGACAAAGGTGACATTGCAACCAATTCTACCAATACAAAAGATCCTCAGAGATTATTATGAACAATTCTATATATATAAACTAAAAAATCTGGAAGAAATGGAGAAATTCCTGGAAACACATAATCTTCTAAGACTGAGTTGAGAAATAATATCCAAACAGACCAATATTGAGTTCCCAAATTGAATCAGTAATGGGGGAAAAAAAAAACCCTACCAACAACAGCAACAACAAAAGCCCTGGACCAGATGAATTCACAGCTGAATTCTATCAGACATAAAAAGAAGAACTGTTACCAATTCTAATGAAACTGTCCCACCCAAAAGAGGATGAGGCAGCTCTTTCCTGACTCATTCTATGAAGCCAGTGATACTGGGCATTTAGGTAGCCATTTAGGTTCTGATACCAAAACCTGGCAAAGACACAATGAAAAAAGAAAGCAACAGGCCAGTATCTCCGATAAACACAGATGCAAATATCCTCAACACAGTACTAGTATATCAAATAAGCAGCACATAAAATAGTTAATTCACACAATCAAGTTGGCTTCATTCCTGGGATGCAAGATTGATTCAACATATGCAATCAATACACGCAATTCACCACATAAACCAAACTGAAAACAAAAACCATATGATTATCTGAACAAATGTGGAAAAATCTTTTGATAGAATCCAACATCCCTTAGTGATAAAAACCTTCAACCAGCTAGGCATTGAAGGAACGTATCTCAAAATAATAGCCATCTGTGACAAACTCACAGCTAACATCGTACTAAATTGGGCAAAAACTGGAAGCATTCCCCTTGAGAACTGGAACAAGACAAAGATGTCCACTCTCATCACTCCTATTCAACATATTAGGTTGGCGCAAAAGTAATTGTGGTGAAAAGTATTTAATGGCAAAAACTGCAATTACTTTTGCACCAACCTAATAGTACTGGAAGTACTGGCCAGAGAAATCGAGCAAGAGAAAGAAGTAAAAGGCATCAAACAGGAAAATAAGTCAAACTATCTCTCTGGCAGATGATTCTATACCTAGAAAACCCTAAAGATTCTGACAAAAGAACTGATAAATGACTTCAGTAAAGTTTCTGGATACAAAATCATTGTACAAAAACTAGTACCACTTCTATACAACAATAACATTCAAAAGGAGAGGCAAATCAAGAATGCAAGAATGTATTCCTATTTACAATAGACACACACACACACTCACAACTTAGGAATACATCTAACCAAGCTGATGAAAGATCTCTACAAGGAGAATTACAAAACATTGCTAAAAGAAATCATCGATGACACAAACAAATGGACAAACCATACATGCTCATGGACTGGAAGAAACAATATCATTAAAATGGCCCTACCGCCTAAAGCAATCTATGGAGTCAATGTTATTCCTATTAACCAATGTCATTTTTCACAAAACTAGAAAAAACTATTCTAAAATTCATTGGGAACCAAAAAGGAGCCAAGAAAGCCAAAGCAATCCTAAGCAAAAAGAACAAAGACAAGATTATTTGACTTCAAACAATACTATAAGGCTACTGTTACCAAAATGGCATGGTACTGGTACAGAAACAGACACATAGATCAATGGAACAGAACAGAGAGCCCAGAAATAAAGCCAAACACCTACAGCCATCTAACCTTTGACAAAGTCAGCAAAAATAAGCAGTGGAGAATGGACTCCCTAATCTGTAAATGTTGCTAGCTAGCCATATGCAGAGGAATGTAGAGAGCTAGCCATAAGGAGAGGAATGAAACTGGATCCCTACTTTTTACCATAAAAAATTAAAATGGATTAAAGATTTAAATGTAAGACCTCAAACCATATGAATCCTAGTAGAAAATCTAGGAAACACCATTCTGGACATTGGCCTGGGGAAAGAATTCATGACTGAGTCTTCAAAAGCAACTGCAACAAAAACAAAAATTGACAAGTGGGACCTAATTAAACAAAAGAACTTCCGGACAGTAAAACTATCCACAGAGTAAACAACCTACTGAACAGGAGACAATATTCACAAACTTTGCATGCAACAAAGGTTTAATATCCAGAATCTATATGGAACTTAAATAATTGAACAAGCAAAAAATAACCTCATCGAAAAATGAGCAAAAGAGATGAATAGACGCTTCTTAAAGACATACAAGTGCTCAATAAACATGAAAAAATGCTCCATATCACTAATCATCAGAGCAATGCAAATTAAAACCACAATGAGATACCATCTCACATCACTTAGAATGGCTATTATTAAAAAGTCAAAAAACAACAGATGCTGGTGAGGCTATGAAGAAAAGGGAATACTGATACACTGTTGAGGGGAATGCAAATTATTTTGGCCACTGTGAAAAGCAGTTTGGAGATTTCTCAAAGAACTTAGAACTACCATTTAACCCAGCAATCCCATTACTGGGTATATATCCAAAAGAAAACATCATTCTGCCAAAAAGACAAGAGGCACTTACATGTGCATCATAGCACTGTCCCCAATAGCACAGAAATGGAATCAATCAATCTATGTGTCCAACAATGCATGGATAAAGAAAATGTGGTACGTATTAGGCATGGAGTACTATACAGCCATAAAATGAACAAAATCATGTCCTTTACAGCAACATGGATATTGCTAGAGGCCATGATCCTAAGTGAATTAATGCAGGATCAGAAAACCAAATGCCACATGTTCTTACTTATAAGTGGGAGCTAAACATTAAGTACTCATTGACACAATCATGGCAATAACAGAAATTTGGTACTGCTAGAGCTGGGAGAGAGGGAGATTATAAAGGTTGAAAAGCTATCTATTGTGTATTATGCTCAGTACCTGGGTGACAGGATCATTAACACCCCAAACCAGCATCATGCAGTATATCCAGGTATCAAACCTGTACATGTAACCCCTGAATCTAAAATAAAAGTTAAAAAAGGGAGAAAAATTACAATTTACCCGCCGTTTGGTTGATATTTAGGTTCATTTACTTCCATTTATTCTCAATGTTAGGAGATTGCTTTATTTTTTCTTTTCGTTTAAAGTTTAATCTAAACCATTTGTGTAGTTCCAAAGTCAAAACTATGAAAAAGTACTGTACATTGAAAAAGAGTTTGCTTGCATATTTGTTCCTGCATCCCATTCTCTCCCTCCTTAATTGGTAATACTTTTTTATTAGTCGTTAGTTTATGCTTGTATTATTTCTTCTTCAGAATATTAGTAAATGTGTTTATATTTTACACAAAAGGGGTCATACATTTACTCTTCTGTACCTTGTTTTATCCACTTAAAATTGCATATTTTTGTATATATTTTAGGAATAGATAGATCCCTAGGTGTGGATATGCTAGGTCAAAGGGCAAATCCATATAAAATTTTACGAGATATTGACAAATTTCCTTTAATAGAGTTGTATTATTTTGTGGTTGAGAAGATTTTAAAAACAAGGATTTCCTAGTCTCGGATCTACTGAATCAGAACTTGGAGATAGGGTTTCTCAGCTGTGTTGGATGATTACCCAGGTTTGGGGAGTTCATTCCAAAGGAAATTTTAAGGCTGACAATGTATTGCTCATTTGATATGTGTTAGGTACTGTGCTAGACACTGGTGAGAGAAATTCCAAGAAACATATATTTTTCCCTGGGCAATCCCAGTGACTGGATAGTTGGAGAGAAGCATTTAAAACAAATCATTATAATGTGATTATTGGTATAGTTGAGATGTATAACGGGGTTAAGGGACAAAAAAAGAGTCAATGCCTATGAGAATTGTACCTAGAATAGATTGGGATTAACTGTTTATAATAAAAGCAGAAGTATGCATTTGGCAAATTATTTATGAAACTGACTTAATGTACTCTCTTTTCCTGAAAAGAAAATAATGAGTTTAACCCTGAACTTATCCCATCTGTATTTGCTTCATTTCTTGTTTTATTTTTTGATATAGCTTCAAATTTTCAAGTTGGATCTTCCATGGACATTTCTGGAGATTTTTGAACCTAAAATCATAACAGCATAACATAATGATATTTCAGTGTTAAAATCAGACCATAATCATTGGCATTCTGTGCTCTGCATAAAATAAATAATGTCATTCATATAGTTGACAGGAGAAAAGATAAAAGTCAATAAAAAGAGAATTATTTATTAAAAAGATCTAATGTTACAAGAACAGTACACAGAACTATTATTTGACTGTGCCTTCCACATGGTATATACCTTATATATAGTATATATACAGATCGTACACAGTATATTTAACAGTTTGACATGGGGTCCACAGTACCTTCATTTGGGTATGCAAAACTTTTGCTTTCATGAAATTTCGAATTATAAGGACTGTTGCTTTCTTCATATTCAATTGACATTATATAAAAATACAGTCTCTTTAGTGATTTAAGACTGTGGTTACTATCCCATAGAAGAAAAAATTCAGTACTGTAGCTGAAAAATAATATACCTTGATAAGAATGCTCTTCTGATTTCTACAAAGTAACAGATATGTAGCACATAAGTACATAAACATTGAAAACCTGTTTTCTAAATAGGTTTATGATGCAAAATACATATTCTGTGTATGTTAAGTAAAAACATTCCATATCTCTGATTCCTGTAAGAATACAACATCAGACATTCTATGTGTAAATACTCTGTCAGATATGTACCATCCGTCAGCTAATTAAAAATATTGGTTAAATTTGTCATTTTATTTGTTTAATATTTTACTGGGCTTTGCCTTCTGAGAGTGTAAGTAAGAAGTTGATTCTTAAAGTCCTTCACTAAATCTGGTTTACATCACCATGGAAAATGAAGACAATGGCTTGATACATGAAATACATAAAATTATTTTGCATTAAAAATATTCTTTCTGCCTTTTTTTTTTCCAGATACACAATTCATTCATGAAAGTTACACTATACTTGGGAGAGCTCATGTTTTGTCAGCTAACCAATTAAGCATCCCTGTTTTTGCAAAGTCCAAAGTCCAGCTTCTCCCACTTTAAAGGAGGTGTTCAAGAAAGGCTACTTAGTCGTAATTACTTACAGGCTTAAATATTTACCATCTGTAGTACTTACTATAATATCTATTGACTGAGTCTTTCTTTTAACTCATTTCTTATTTGTTTAGGGTGTCTTACATAATTTTCCCCCAAGAGAATATGTAACCTACATACAGACTTTTCCTGTGGCTCTGAAACTATTATTTTAGGATGTTGAGAACAGAAACTTCAATCACTCCTCTGATTCTACAAGGATTAACCTTGAGAGCTAGCAATTTGAGCTCCATATTGTTTCATTTTGCTTGTTATTAATGAAGCAAATACAATTAACAAGTTTAAAGTATATAAAATTATAAAACTATTTTTTGTTCTCATGTTAACATCACCTATAAAACCATAATTTTTCCAGGCTCTTCTCTGGCATATGACTTTGCAGTAACTGTCCTTTCTTACATTTGCATGGATATGATGCCAACTCTGGCACATTCTCATGTTTGTTAGAACTTCTTTAAGATATCTTCAAGTAGAAAATTTTCATCTCATTTTCCAACAGCTCTCTAAGATCTCTCAGGCTCAAGTTGACTCTTCGAAATAGCAAATAAGGATTACTTCCCAAGCCACAGAATCAAACAGTGCATAGCTGGCTAGACTAGCTGAATCCCTGTACTGATGCCATGTTTCCACAGCTTAATTAAAAATTCAATTTATCCAAGAGAGACTGTCTTTATTTTACTAGTTGATTTTATCAGTGGTATGTGATGCATGGAACTGTTTTTAAAAATCAAAATTTATTTGTTATGCTTGAACCATTTTAATCTACAGACTATGCATAATTATTTGCACAACACATTTTCATTGTCCTTAAAATTTTTGCAAAATTTTGCAATTAGAAGAAAACCTTGGACCTAATTCAACATCTGCTTTGGCAGTAGGTAAAGAAATGGAAACGCTGTGTCCCATACTCTTCTTATTTTTAAGTTAGCACCCGTGGCAGCATGTCTGCAGTTTTTAGTGATCATATTTTTTGGTGATGTTAAACCATCTTTTATTATTAAAAATAAATATTTATTATATTTGCTGCTAGATAACATAGTACTTTATGAAAAACAATAGCACTAAAATTCATTTGGACTCAGTTTCTATTTATCTTGCACTAATGTAAATGGCTTATTCCCTACCCTAATAACTTGCTCTAGGGGTGCATATAGAATAGCATATTGACAAATCTTGCTATTTCACTATGCAATCATACAATATTTTTCAAGAAAATTTTTGTGTACTTATCTTATAATGGACCACATCACTGAAGCATTTTTCATATTTCCTGCTGGTTTGGAAATTGAGATATTCAGCCAAAGGGAAAATGAAAAACACTGAACTCAGTCTTAAGCAAACTTTTCATTCTCACTTTTGCATTTGTCTTAAAACAGATCTGCTAAAGGCCAGTTACTTAACAAATGGATGGCACACACTCGTAGTCATAGATATAAAATAAAATCCAAACATATTAAAAAAGTAAAGAATACATTTGACAGAAATTACCTTTGCTTACAAAAATTCATTACATACAATCTGCATATTTTTACTGGACTAAGAACTGTCCTCTCCATTTACAAAAACCAAAGAGAAACCTGATGGATAAGTAATATTTCCCCCCTAACCTCCTGTGAGTTCACCATGTATAGTTCCAAGTTTTTAAAGCTCAAACTCATCTCAGGATCCTGGTTCTCCACTTACACTACACTCTATTCACTGCTGTTATCAAGCTAAAGCGAACAAAAGCAAATTAAGTCAGCGGTTTTCACCAGGAGGCTGAAGGAATCATCAATGCCAAGAGCAACGTGACTGATGATGAAGATGTGGAGAGAGTGTGAAGGGTCGACTGAGCACTTGTGATTTTTCCACCTGTGAAAAAAAAAGCATCAAATGGAGCAAATTATTTTGGTTTTCCTTGAGCTAGGCCAGAATTGCTTTTAGTATGTAAGACTAATGAGTGCAAGAATGGTCCTGTTTCTGATAAGAGTGTTCTTTGTATTTATAAAATCAGACATTATCTGAGGTTCCCAAAGTTATATAGAAGGGACAAGGATATATGAGATATTGTATTGAAAAGGTGATGTCATGTCTAACAAATACATCCAATCAGGAGATTTAATTTTCACCAATGATGAAAATATTCCAAATTCAGATATAAAAATAATTTTGATAGTGCACAGTTCGGAAAATGGAGCAAAAATAACAAAAGCTTGTGGCAATATGAATTCCTAATTTACAGTCATGAGCTGCATAATGACATTTCAGTCCACCATGGACTACATATTTGATGGTGGCTCCCTGAGATCATTATGGAACTGAAACATTCCTATTGCCTAGTAATGTTGTAGCAATTATAACATTGTAATGAAATACGTTACTCACGTATTTGTGGTGATGCTGGCTTAAACAAACCTGTTCTGCTAGTTATATGAACGTATAATGTACAGTATTTAATTGATAATGGTAACAAATGATACCTGTTATTTGGCTTACGTATTTACTTTTTTTTTTTTTTTGAGATGGAGTCTTGCTTTGTCGCCCAGGCTGGAGTGCGGTGGCGCCATCTCGGCTCACTGCAAGCTCCGCCTCCCGGGTGTACGCCATTCTCCCGCTTCAGCCTCCGGAGTAGCTGGGACTACAGGCGCGCACCACCACGCCCGGCTAATTTTTTGTATTTTCAGTAGAGACGGGGTTTCACCTTGTTAGCCAGGATGGTCTCGATCTCCTGACCTCGTGATCCGCCCGCCTCGGCCTTCCAAAGTGCTGGGATTACAGGCGTGAGCCATTGTGCCCGGCCCTGTATTCACTATTCTTTTAGTAATTATTTTAGTGTACTTCTACTTACAGATTAACAGTTAACTGTAAAACAACTTCAGGCATGTCCTTCGGAAGGGCTTCCAGAAGGAGGCATTATTATCACAAGAGATGATAACTCCATGCGTATTATTGCCCCTGTAGACCCTCTAGTGAGACAGGATGTGGATATGGAAGACCAATATTGATGATTCTGACCTAGGGCTAAGCCTACACTAATGTGTATATTTGTGTCTTAGTTTCTAACACAACAGTTTAAAAGGAAAATAATATAAAATAAAATAAAAATGTTAAAAAGTTTATAGAACACAGATATAAAGAAAATGTTTTTTTACATCTGTATTATGTATGTGTTTTAAGTGTTACCACAAAAGAGATAAAAAGTTAAAAAATTTAAAAAATTTATAAAGTAAAACAGTTACAGTAAGCTAAGTTTAACTTATTAGAGAAAAAATTGATTTTATAAATGTAATATAAATATAGCCTAAATATACAGTGATTATAAAGTCTAAGACAGTGTACAATAAAGTCATAGGCCTTCACATTCACTTGGCAATCACTCAGTGACTCACCCAGAACTTACAACCCTGCAAACTCTGTTCCTGTTAAGTGCCCTATAGAGGTACACCATTTTTTATCTTTTATACTGACTGTATCTTTACTGTAATTTTTCTATGTTGAGATACACAAATAGCATTGTGTTACAATTACCTACAGTATTCAGTGCAGAATCATGTTGTATATATCTATGGCCTAGGAGCAATAGGCTATACCATATGCCTTAGGTATGTAGTAAGCTATACCATCTAAGTGTGTGTAAGCATACTCTATGATGTTCACACAGTGAAATTGCCTAAGGATGCATTTATCAGAACTTATCCTCATCATTAAGAAATACATGACTATGATTACTCTAGTAAATTTTAAAATCTAATAACATTATTTTATTTACTGAATTTATTGATGTGTCCTTGATTGACTGTTTCAGTTGAGTGAGCTTAAATTCTAGGTTCTCATGCCAAACTTCGCAAAACATGGTGATCTTTCATCACTCTTTCTTACACCCAGGAGAGGTTCTTTATGAGACTAAAACATTGTATGCAGCTAATATATTAGAATCGCTTTGGGATTAAACTGACTGATCCAAGGTTGATTAGTCTGAAGTACTTTTAATAGCCCTACATAACCACAAACGAAATGACTTTTAGATATTAACTTCAGGAACGGTTCTTCAAACCAGAAGCCTTCTGAAGCATCATGATCATAATTGATTATTTAATAAACGCTTATTGTATGTCACATACTGTACAAAGCCTTTTATATATGTTATCTTAATTGATCCTCATAACATTCCTATAGGGTAAATACAATTATTTATTCCCCTCTTGCAGATGGAGCTGGGGCTTAGAAAGGCTGTAAACTTGCTTAAAGTAATTGAGGTAGGAGTTAGTGGATTTAGATACTTGTGTATTATCTCTCTTAAAACAATGATTGACCTTAGTTAAAACCCTAATAATAATAATATAATCTACTACCCAGTTGCTGAAATCTTCTGTCAAGGTAATCCTCTCCGGCTAGACTGAGTGTAATGGGATTTGGGGGGTAATTTTAGTTGCAAAGATGGAGTCTGAATTTATTTTCTTGATACTTAAGAGCCAGAGAATAATTTGGTAAACACACGCATGCGCGTGCGTGCACACACACACACACACAAATGCAAAAACCAGTAAGTCTTTGAAAACTTTTACAGCTAATACACTACTAGAACTTATCAATCAACATATTGGAGAATGTTGCATATATTTCAACTTGTACAAAATGGGGTTATTGTGAAGCATATAGCCACTTGTGAACCGTAAGAAAGGCAAGATGACAAGACTCACTGGAGTCGTATGTGCATGCTTAATAAATAAAAAATGTGAAAACATCCTTTCTAGCTATTGGGAGTGGCTGCATCTTAATTTACATGACACTTTTATAAAAATATCTCACTTTCAGAATGCTAAGTAGGGTCTGTATCTCAAATTCCAAATAGAATCTACAAAACTAAAACATATTAATTTGATATAGCAAAGCAACCCCAGAAAACAACAGAAAGAACAATATTAGACTAAGTTCTAGCCTCAGCTATAAAACTAACTAGCTGTTACACTTGGGCAAGTCATTTGATATCTTAGGCATTTGGTTTTCACAATATGATAAAAATGAAACCAATCATGACTCAGGGTCTGAGTCTAAGGTAGACAATAGTGTAAGAGTTTCCCATATTGAAACTCAGGAAGTGGGTTGCACTGATCAAAATGTTATTAACTGAAATATAAAAGTTGATAATTTTTTTCTTGGCATAGAAGTTACAATTTAAAATATCAATGGGAGAATTAAGATATCATAAGTACTTCCAAGGTTGAGGCTGATCTTATTCAGATAATACTATAGAATCTGATTGTGTTAGAGTTGAAAGTAACCTTAGAGAGTCAGAGAAGAATAAAATACCTAACTCAAAAGTTTGCTGGAAAGATAAAATAATATATAGAAAACACTTAGTTTAATGCCAGGAACACGATGAGGCCTCAGTAAATGCTCACTGTATTGCTGTCTAGGAATTTGACCTGCTGAAGCAAGAGGAAGGTTGTCGTATATTTTGCTTTTCAGGAAATAGTCTTTTAAGATGCTCTTGAAAATTCAGCTCCCTCATCTGAACAGTTCAATTGTGAAATCATTAATGCGGAGATATTATAACTGTTCTTGCTGTTGAAACTATACTTTCATAAATGAATCATAAAGCATATTAAATTTTCATGTGACCACAATAAAGTTTAAATTCTTAAATCTTTCCACCAGAATTTCTGAAAAAGTCAGATTTCTCCCATCTTATGTTTTGTATTTTTAACTAGTCATTTAAAAATACTTTTAGGTGTACTGAAAAGTCATGAGACTAAGGAATTCACCCGGATTCCTTAAATGTTGACAGTTTATCATTCTCGCTTTATTGTTATTTCTATACATACATCCATTTTTCTGAAACATTTGAAATGAAATTTCAGATATGATGTGCCTTTTCCTCTAAATATTTTAATGTATAGTTCCTAAAAATAAGGCTTTTAACAATATAACCACAGTACAGTTTAAAAAAAATAAATTAATGTTAATGTAATATCTAATTTACAGGTATGCAAATCTTATCAATTATCAATAATGTTCCTTATCCTGTATTTTTATGTGAGACCTTATCAAGTATCATAACTGGCAGCTAAATTATGAGGACACATGGACATATAGAGGGGACCAGCACACACTAGGGTTTATCAGAGGGTGGAGGTTGGGAAGAGGGAGAGGATCAGGAAAAATAACTAATGGGTACTAGGGTAAATACCTGGGTGATGAAATAATCTGAACAACAAAACCCCATGACACAAGTTTAACTGTGTAACAAACCTGGACATGTACCCCTGAACTTAAAAAGTTAAAAAAAAATTATCAAGTATTATGTAAATAGCTTTTCCTCAAAGTTCCAGTCTGTTTCATTCTTTTCTGCACTGTATTTATCTCCCATTTCATGGTGGCATAAAAGAAATCACAAGCAATGCCTCTGGTCTGATTTCAAGTTGATGAGTAAGTTAAATAGCACAGGGCCACATACACAGCATGACGGGACACTTCCCTGTAGGTTGATAATTCTGCTTGGGAATGATTGCTTAACAAATGATGTTCCTAATTATCCACTAATTGTAATGAGAAAATGTTATATAATGTTCTCATAAAATTGTCTAATACTTTTAAAATCACAAATTTGCATATCTAAATCTTTTGCTGCTTTTTTTGACTACCTCTATGAAATGGTTACTTTATTCTAAATTTCTAAAATCTCGCTTCCTTTAATCAGTTTTTCCTTTGCTTATATAATAATGATGGTGGTGGTGAAGATACGTGGTTTTGGAAACAATCATATCCAGGTCTTTATCCTGGTTCTGAAACTTAGTAATAGTGTGGTCTTAGGCAAATTACTTAAACGTTTTCTACAAAACAGTAAAAATGTCACCTATCTCATATGATTGTTACTAAAATTAGATGATGTATGTAAAGCACTTTTGACCATGTCTGACATATAATAAGGGTCAGCGAAAGCTAGCAGTTATTAATATTGCTAATAACAATGTTCAATAAAATTTATAATTCGTTTGGAAATCAATAAATATGACCAAATTTTAATTTTAAAAGCTTCCCTTTAAACTCCTTATTTTCTAACAATAAAGGCAATCAAAACAACAGAAACGTAGGTATGTCAAAACCAGTGCAATATCAGTTTAAAAGCCATACTCCAAAAACCAAATGGCCAGCAAGCTACTACTTGAGACCAGGACAGGCAACGACATTTCACAAATCAGTACATTCTAATGAAAATGTCAACTCCTTTCTAGATTTGTAGAAATTCTGCAATTGTGAGCAGATTACTGTGGTTCATATTAATCAGAAGATAATATAAAAATCAGAGAGGAGAAACCCCTCAAAATCTCTGAACCATGAAATCTATCACATCCCCAATTTTGATGAGTTTCATACCATCTTGTAATTGTTGGTTGTCAGCAAATTAAACCTACTATGTCAAAACTCACCTGAATATGATGGTACCCTAATTTGAGAGCTAGCTGTTCCATCTCCTCCTTCACTATATGCTCGAACTTCAATAATGTAGACTCCAGCATCTGGGAGTGGTACTACTGCTTGAAGTTTCTGTGTTTCAATAACTTGGCTGTTGCTGTGACCCTCTTGCCTATAAAAAACCTATGAGTAACAACAGAGGTTTAGACATTTGATATGAAAGATTACAAATGCACATTGACTACCTACTGAGCATCACATTCTGAGATAATCACAAGAGACTTACAGTTTAGACAGATACACAAGCAAATGTATGCATGTGCATTGTACTGCAGTAGATGTATACAAAAGGGCCATGGAGGTACAGGAGAGAGTTTCATTTTGTCTAGGGGTTTAGTGAAGGCCTTCCAGAGGAAGTGATGTCTGAACTACATATTTAAATATGATAGAGTGGACCAGTTGGAGAAAGGGAGGAGAATTCCAGAAAGAGATAAGATAAAATGAGTAACTACATCTAAGCAATAAGGAACAATGGCATGAGGGTAGGGAATGAAGAGGGGATATATGGGATATGAGGAATGAGACTAGAGAAGTAGGGAGAGAGGAGGCAGATCATGGAGAGTCTGTTATGCTTGGTTATTGAAATGAACAATATTGTAAGGGAGTTTAGAAAGCTCATCTTCAAATAGCTTGAAAGGAGTAAAGAGAAAATTTGTTAAACATATAAATAATAAATCCTTAACGATGTAGGAAACAATTGAAAGTGAAAATTTTATTTTTTCAATTTTTACTTTTATAGTGGTTTGCTTTTTGGTACAATCAGCATTTGGATACATTGTATAGCAAGGCTAAAGCTTTTTAGACATCTGTTGTGGTATCATAATTAAACATGCATGCACGGAAAACAGAATTTTGGAACTGCAAATCAGGACACAGGATAATCCTTTGTTTACATATTAAAAAATGACGTCCATAAAGTTTAGGTGACTCGTACAAGACCATGTGGCTAGTTAGGGTAGAAATCTCATCAGAAGATTTATGTTTGATAATCACTTCAGAGCTATTTTACTATATTGTACTTTTACTCATGTGCCTCCAAAAATAGTCAAGTAAAATTTTTTTGGTATAGTCAAGTAGCAGCAGTTAAGATGTGTTTAAATGTGTTTTTATTCAGGTTCATTCTTCTTTGTGCTTTTTCATAATTGGTGTTATAAGTATGTAATAGAAAGAAAAATGGCTTTGTATTCATACAGATCTGGATACAAAACAACTTCCTACAAAACATAGCAAAAGAAAACGAAATCTCCTATACCATCCTGGCTGGGAAAATTTGGGCAAGTTACTAACTTCTGTAACTTCAATTTATTCTACTGTATGGTAGAGATAATAACAATTTTAGGGTTTTTAGGGGAGTAAAATGAGAAAGTGCATGTAGAATACCTAGCACAGGACCTGGTGCGTGATAAGCTTAATAAGAGAAAGCTACTCCTTCTATTGCCATCATTGTTTATTCACCGTTAAAGGGTTGGTATTTCAAGTGCATCATACAATATGAACTGACTTGGGAAATTAGACAAAAATCGACATATCTTTTCTTATGGAAAATGTGTTTTGAGCTTGAATTAACTTACATACAAAAAACCCAAACAATTCTTTAGAGAAACAGTATTTCCACATATTGAAGCTTGCGTGTACTTGATCCTTGATCCCTCTGCATTCTAGTAATAAACGATCCCTCCATTTCACTTCCTTTTTTTTTTCCATTTAATTTTAAATCTACTTCACGTTCTTGGGAGGGAAGTGAATTCTCTATTTAAGTGTGATGTGCAAAAATGGCATCTATTGAAATCCTTATTATAAAGGATGCTATAGTCTCAGTGTAAATGCAAGTTGATAACAGTATCACCAAACATTTACTGGATATCTCATGCAGGCCGGGCATGAGTGCTATATACTGGAGATTCATCATAGAATAAGATCACATGGTTATGGTCTTTCTGGCATTTATAGTCTAATATTGAAGGCAGACAAACAATGCAATGAAGCATGATATGTACTGCAGTGGGAAATATATTTGATGCTATAGTAATGCACAAAGTGGGTACTTAGTCAAGATTGGGGAAATCGGGAACACTTCCTGGAGGATGCCTTAAGCAGCTTTTATCTTAAAATGTGACAAATATATATGTATTTATGCTTTTGATTTGCATGGAGCATCGTGATGAATTAGAATTCTGATCATGTGAGGTAATTGGAAAGCAAATTTATGGGAATGGGAAAGTATGTAAATTGGTGAGGATTGGCAGGAGAGTGACTATTTTAGAGGACACTGTTATTATGATTCAATAAATTACAATTCTTATGACAAAGAAAAATGCATCCAGCAATGCATATCTAATGTTCTAGAGTTGAAGAAAAATTTGTGGATCAGTTGAGATTTAGGATTAAAAGGTAAAGACAGGGAAAAAAATCAGTGGTATCAAAAGGAGCCTGAGATTAAGTGTGGCCTTTTAGCAATATATCCAGGGAGATGGAGTGCTAAACATATATGTAGATCTACTAAGTGAAAAGATACATTAAATTAATAGTTAATCTTTAGTGCTTTAGAGAATATAGGCTCATTTAAAAATCCTGATTTAGAAAAGATGAATGAGAATGAGAACTATGAGAAGGTTAAGGAGTTATCAAGACATGTAAAAAAATAGTTATTGACAGTAAGGAGTCCAGTGAGTTCTTAGAGACTATGGACATTCATAGATTGACAGTTGCAATGACAGCTATGTTTATGTATAAAGGAAATTGTGTAATGTATTGTGTCAAGGCTATTCTCAAATTTTGGTATTAAAAAAAAAACGGAGAGCAGTGGGTTATCCAAAGAGATGATCCTAAATAGAAAATGTGGTATTGCTATTCTCAAAAGCTTGATCTGGAAGTGGCTATTCTATATGTTTGATGGTAGTAGAATATTGAGGTCAGTGTGCTAAACATATAACAGAATAAAGTTTTGCTGGTTATACCCAAAGTACTCCTGAGAAGGATGGCTCATATTAAGAGAAAGGCCTATTCCTCTACTGAGCATCTTGGAAAGAGTTGATGGGTACAACTGCCCTTCATAAAACAGGGTGAGGAATCTACAGCCTCAGTCACAATGGGATGGGTAGGAAGGAGTCAGTATGACAATGGAAGTTAGATAAATAGAAGCTGGGAGACACAGTTTCAGTGAGAAGTCACTGCATGAAGGTTGGCTGAACACAGTTATGACGACAAGACTTTCTTTTGGGCCCTTTGCAGATGTTTGCTTGTATGTTGTTCCTTTCTAACTCTATCTCCCCGGCATTTTCAAAAAGTCTGCTTCATATATATGCTGGATATGACATGAGCCATTTCTGTTTGAATTATTTAAAATTCTGAAAAATTTCAGGCATAAATGAATGTAAAGAGGATACTATAATGAACCTCATTTAAAAAGACTCATATATGACTTAACTTGGATGATAGGTAAATGAGGATGATAGGTAAACACAGAAAAGAAGGCTGAGTCTCATATTTAGAGTGACTATAAGATGACGGGGCCGGGCGCAGTGGCTCAAGCCTGTAATCTCAGCACTTTGGGAGGCCGAGACGGGCGGATCACGAGGTCAGGAGATCGAGACCATCCTGGCTAACACGGTGAAACCCCGTCTCTACTAAAAAAAAAAAAAATACAAAAACCTAGCCGGGCATGGTGGCGGGCGCCTGTAGTCCCAGCTACTCGGGAGGCTGAGGCAGGAGAATGGTGTGAACCCGGGAGGCAGAGCTTGCAGTGAGCTGAGATCCAGCCACTGCACTCCAGCCTGGGCGACAGAACGAGACTCCGTCTCAAAAAAAAAAAAAAAAAAAAATGTGAAGGAAGAGCTGCAGAATAAAAGAAATCAGAGACTAGAGTGGCTATAGACTACAGTTCCCAAGAAGCTGGAGAAATACAGGGAAGGGCCTCAAAGTTCCAGTGGGTATGTAAAACAGTATCAACCCAAGTGTACATATATCTCAGGAATCTGGAAGCTCAGCTGATATCTCAGTTGCATAAACAAATGAGAACCTCTGTTTGTATCTGATATGGTTTGGCTGTGTTCCCTCCCATATCTCCTCTTGAATTGTAGCTCCCACAATGCCCACGTTTTGGGAGGGACCTGGTGGGAGGTAATTGAATCATGGGGGCAGGTCTTTCCCGTGCTATTCTCATGATAGTGAATAAGTCTCATGAGATCTGACTGTTTTATAAAGGGGAATTTCCCTGCACAAGTATTACTCTCTTGTCTGCTGCCATGTGAGACATTGCTTTCATCTTCCACCATGATTGTGAGGCCTCTCTAGCCATGTGGAACTGTGAGTCCATTAAAACTCTTTCTTTTATAAATTGCTCAGTCTTGGGTATGACTTTATTAGCAGTGTGAAAATGGACTAATACAGTATTGATGGATTGTGTAATAACTAATAAACTTTGGGCCTGATTGTCTTCTATTTGCCCCAGCTTTGTAAACAGGTAAAAAGTAAAGGTGGGTGAGGGGAGGTATATGGTGAAGGGGTTGTATATCTAGGGAAGGCTATTTTCTAGATATAGACTTGAAAAACTAATAGTTTTCACTTGGATTATAGCCTGAGGTCCTGAATTCTTTCTAACTGCTTGAGTATTTTCTGAAGGGATAACAGTTTCTGTTTGTGGGGAAGGGGACATTTGCTGAAGTGAAAGCATAGCCCCTGAACATTCAGTTTTATTTTCCCTTTCACTCAAGCATAAGTCTGTGTGAGGAAAATAAGGTGGAGATAAAATGGTTGTTTTACTTTATAATCTGGGTAAAGTACTTTCATGGTGTAAAGAAAAAAAATTTCCATTTTCAAGATCATTAAAAATTATGGCTGAATATACTTTAGCCCGTATGTTTCTTTTTGGCATTTCTTTAGTAACACCAGTAATGGTGAGTCTTACATCATGTGCTACAATTAGTAAGGATTCTAGATAGAGACCCCAAATTATAGGAGTTGTATAAATAAAATGTTATTTGTTTAAAAACTTTTATTTGAAAACAATAAGTCAAGGTAGGAAAACTTTTATTTGAAGTTTTTATTTCACTTTCCCAATCATTTATAAATAATGTGTTAATAAAATAGGCAGTTGATTCTGAATTGGGGAATGTAAATACAACAGAATAAATAAAGTGACACGTTTACTGACCTGAGGAAAAGTCATAAATATGCTAAATAAATTACCAAATTGGATTCAACTTCTCAAATGGAAAGTTATTTTGAGTGGAAATAATTTGTATTATTATTTGGTACAATAAGGGGTGTCTGCAACAGATAATCCTTTCCAATATCTTGCTGGTTCTCTATGTGTCTCTGTTCCTTACTTGTTAATGGAAGGTGTGATATCTTGAAATTATTGCTATTAAATCTGAATTTCTTAAGCAAAATTCCAAGAAGCCCAGGATCTCTTAGACAATCTCAAAAATAAATCTGAAAAGTTTCACCACTAGGTACTGCTTAATGTTTATCTGAATGAATTCAATTTTAATGTGTTACCTATGGGGCAGTTATATATGGTTCAATTCCATCTATCTTTCATGATATTCTTGGTCACTTTTGAAGGCTCTGACAAGATTTTGTGGTAGGGAGACCTCTTTTTTTTTTCTCCTAACATCTGTTAACAAAATTTCTGTTATCATCTTTCTCTGGTAATATCTGGTAGTTACATATGTTGCTTACACCTCAATGTCTGAAATTGAGTAAGAAAGTAAGATCTGTGATGCTATGGTTTTAATGTGTCCCCTGCAAAATCCAAGTGTTGCCAATGTGATAGTATTCAGAGGTGGACCTTTAACAGGTGATTACATCATAAGGACTTCTTCCCTCGTGAATAGGATTAATGCCCTTATAAAAGAGGCTTCTCACGGCTGTTGGCCCTTTTGTCCTTCTGCCTTCTGCCAAGTGAGGACACAGTGTTCCTCCCCTCTGGAGGATGTAGCTTTTAAGGCACCATTGTGGGAACCAAAATTGGACCCTCATCAGACACAGAATTTGCTGGAGCTTTGATCTTGGCACTCCCAGCCTTCAGAACTGAGAGAAGTAAATTTTTATTTTTTGTAAATAACCCAGTCCCAGATACCTGTTATAGCAGCACAAAAGGACTAAGACAATGCTTTCTTAGACAATGGGTGGCTCAAATGTCGAACTCTAATGTTTTATGCTACTTCTGTAGTTTACTTTTCAAGACTTTATTAATATAAGCTTTACAATTTTATAATGTACTGATATACATTTTTATAGTGTTCTTATATTCCATGGAAAATGGCAAAATAACTTTTAAAATTCCTAGAAGTATCAATGCACATTTATTTGCCTGAAAGGAGTTCAACTACTGAAGATTAAAGGGCATTGTATTATTCCATTATATGATTTACTTTTTAAATTTTTTATTGATACATACTGAGGTACATATCTTCAGGGTAATATGATAATTTGATACATTTGTATCATGTGTAAAGATCAAATCAGGGTAATTGGGTTTTCCATTACCTGAAATATTTATCTTTTTTTTATGCTAAGAACACTCAAATTATTCTCATCTAGCTATTTTAAGTATACAATAATTATTAACTATTGTTAATAGATTATCTTATTTCTTCTATCTTATAGTATATTTGTACCCATTGATTAACCTCTCTTTGTTCCTCACTCTCCTTTCCCCTTCCTGGTCTCTGATAACCACCAGTCTCTATTTGTATAAGATCCAGTTTGTAGTACATTTTTATCAGAATGTGTATACTGTATATAGCATCTTAACTCTACGAAAGAATCATTTATTACATTATTTATGAACTAAGTATAGGGCAAAAAAATCCACTTTTTCCTCCACATTTATTATGTTTTAATAACTTTCACAACCTAGAAGTCTCCCAGATAAATACTTTTCTAAGTTCTTCAATCTTAAACTGGACTTAACATAAAAGATGGAATATATAATCCCTGCATTTTAAACCTCAGGCTTTAATCCCAAGTTCTCAGCCTCAAACCTACACACAATAAACATTTCCACTGATCCTTCCTGCTTGCAAAAGTGAAGTAGTTTGCAAAGACAGCGTGAAGATTAAGTGACCTCCCTTTTTAATATTCCAATTAATTATGGAAACTCTCCCTTTCCCCAATTAGCAAGAAGTCTTCTGCCTCAAATATTCCAAGAATCCTAGGGGCAAGTTCAGTCTTAACGGGTCAAGCCTGCCTCAAATGACCTTGTGGAAAGAGAAATGATTAGTGTCCTATGTCCCTATTTTATTAATTTTTGTAAGTGACACCCATTGTGCTTAAGAAGAGGTGGCCCGCTATTATAGTGGTGCCACTCGTGGTTGGCAGTAATTTTGGGGATGTAGTAGGAATCAAAAGGATTCCTAGTACAAAAGGCTTCTCCTTCTGAGTACCATGCCCAGCCCTGGTCATTCTATATTAGTGTGCACCTCCGGATGGTATAGTTCTTCAACTGCTGTGTGGGGATCCTTGCCAAGGGTGCAGTAGCTCCCTTCAACATCATACTCAGAAGAGGGGCTCCAAGCTTGTGTTCTCTGGGTTATAGCTCTTTAGTTTATATTCTCAGCTATTATTTCTAAATATATATTCCTGTCCCATTGGGTCTGTGTCAGGAGGAGCTTTCATCCTTGGCTGCCCTGTGAAAAACCGCCCTCTGAGGAGAATCCAAACTCTGGGTTAAGCCCAGTCCAGTCTGAAGTCCCCTTTCCCTCAGGGATCCCTTTCTGTCAGCCGTTCTCTCAGTGGGGATTATCCCACTCTTCAGAAAGGTTCTGATAAGGCTTAGTTGCAAAGGAGAAGGTTTTGAGGTCTTATTCCATTTGTTATCAGCAGACTCCTTCTATAAGAATCAATTCTTCCTTCTCAGGGATATAAGAAAGTGCAACCATTTCAAGAAATAAAAGGGAAAAAATATCTTTGGCAGTGTGTGCCTACTTGTCATTAATTTATACATTGAAAATGGATTATGCTAGTGATTCTTCCCCCAGCAACAAGGTATTCCAACGTGACTTGTGTTGTCTTTATTAAGAGGGGACTGGAGGCAACTTTTGAAGATCAGTTTCTTTGTTAAAATTTTAAAAATTTTACCTAATGAGACATGCTCCTCCAATAACAGTAAGAAACGGTATCTGTTTTTTCATGAGAACATTTTACATGCCAAACATTTTATACAAGTTCTTCTTTAGAAAATCCTGTATAATTTGTATTATTATTGCTATTTTAGCCATTTGTGATGTTAATAAAATAAAACTGAGAAAGTTTAAACGACTTGCTCAAATTACTCAACTAGGATTTGAGCTGAAGTCTATCTAAATCAGTGGCCAGTGATATTTTTTTCCTCTAAACAACAACAAATGGCAAGGTTATGCTGGAAAAAAAATACATATTTGATAATACACATACATAAATAACTGCATAAGACATTTCTATCTGGGCCAACATTATTCATCCATTCTAGAAACATTAGGAACAAGAAATAAGATAAAGTTATTGCCTTTGAGGACTTCAGTCTGTTTGGGGAGACAGTTATATATAAAAAGTAAGAACAATGACTGGGATAGAGGTGTCAAATGTGAACAAAGAGTAGTGGCACCCAGCCTGGGATCCCTA